CAGAGCAATGGATGGCCTTCTACATTACATAAATCCAGCCCATGCGATTTCCATCCTAAGTTCCTTAAACGAGGAACGTCTGAAAGGCCAGTTGTGCGATGTTCTTCTGATAGTCGGAGATCAGAAATTTCGAGCACACAAAAACGTGTTGGCCGCCAGCAGCGAATATTTCCACTGCCTGTTCACAGACAAAAACAATGAGTCTCAGACGGTCTTTCAGCTGGACTTTTGCGAAGCTGACGCATTTGACAACGTCTTGAACTACATATATTCCTCATCGCTGTTTGTTGAAAAAGGAAGTCTTGCAGCGGTTCAGGAACTCGGATACAGTCTTGGAATAAGCTTCCTGACAAATATTCTTTCCAAAACCCCACAGGCACCGTTTTCTTCTCCCAGCAAAAAGTTGACTGTTCAAGAGGAAGATGAAAGTGGGTCTAAGCAAAGAAGCGTTATTGTCTGTCAAAGCAGAAATGAGGCGCAAAGCAGGCACTTATGTAATCAGGACAAAAGCCAGACAAAGCCTTCAACATCTTTGGGGAAAGCACCTTCCGTTAAGCACTATGGGCGCCCGGGTAATTCCCTTGCCAGTTTCTTGTCTTCTGAAAGGAAGTGGCATGGGACCTCTAACTCAGGTGAGCAACCCTTAAGTGGTTCACTGAAACGAAAAGCAACATTTCATCAGAAGGCATCCGAAGGACACGATGTTGACCTCAATGACCATCCTTCTGCTGGATCGCATCCAAGGGGAAATGAGATTTTGAAGAAGAAGTTGGCATCAGCATCTTTACTTGGCACAACAGAATCTCTATATTCGTCACAGAAACCTGAAAAAGACATTTCAGAAATGAAAGACGAAAGAAACATCTTGTGTTATCCTCAGATAGGACTTGGAGCTTCTTCTATCAGATCCTCAAGCCAACAGATTGACCGTAGCGGTCCACTTGTTAAGAGTCTTCTTAGAAGATCATTATCTATGGACAGTCAAGTTCCTGCATACTCAAAAAGTATTGACTTGCAATGTGTTCAGAGAACATCATCCCCACGGGATTGTCCAAATGAGGACATGCCTACTGGAATTTCTCAAAGGCACACTTTAAAAGGAGCTATAGATAAACTTGGAGTCCGAGACAAGGACCAGGAAAAGACTATGGATCCTTTAAGACCCTTTAGTACGTCACAATCCACCTTTACAGAGAACGATATATGTATAAAGACTGAGCCTAGCAGCCCTGCTTCAGAACCATCAGAGGCAATGCGACGATCTGCAGGAGATACTGCTCAGAAAAGGAGTAGAGCGTTTTTTGTTAAATCCGAAGACTCTCCTTTGAGTATGCATTCAGCTAAAAGAAAATTTCATCCAGAAAAAACAATACCACCTTTAAGAGTGAAATTGAAAAGAAGCAGTTCTTCAGAATCTGATGGAAACTATGCAGAAGACTCAACCGCCCTTGGTGATTTCTCAGATTCAGATGACAGCAAGGAAATGGTCATTGCCACGCCAGATGTCCTTCAAAACAAAAAATTCAAATGTAAACACTGCCTTAAAATCTTTAGATCGACAGCTGGTCTTCACCGTCACGTTAACATGTACCATAACCCCGAAAAAACCATACTCATGCGATATTTGTTACAAAAGGTTTCACACAAATTTTAAAGTGTGGACGCACTGTCAGACGCAACACGGCGTATTGAAGAATCCATCGCCTGCTTCGAATGCACAAACCGTTTTGGATGAAAAATTCCAAAGGAAATTGATAGACATTGTAAGAGAACGGGAAATTAAAAAAGCCCTTATTTTTAAGCTGCGTCGAGGCAAACCGGGCTTTTCTGGATCTTCTAGTAGTCAAGCACAAGCCATGAAAAGAAGCTTGAGATCGAGGACCAAAGCAGCTTTCACTTGCAACCAGTGTGGGAAATCTTACCGTTTTCTTACGCAGTATAAACAACACCTCAAAATGCATCCGGAAGAAAGATCTACATATAGCAGCAAGACCATCAGGCCTAAGGTAGCTTCTCCTCCGAAGAGCCCGGCGGAAAACAAGGAGGTGTATCCTTGTCGACTTTGCAATGTAAAGTTTGCTTCATTTCTTGAGCAGGGGAATCATGAACGCATGTGCAGAAATGCTACTCTGTGCCCTTACTGCAGCCTTCGGTTTTCAACCCCGGAACAGAAAAATGAGCATGAACCAAAGTGCGAATATAAGAAGCTGACATGCCTGGAGTGCATGCGGACATTTAAATCTTCTTTTAGCATCTGGCGTCATCAAGTTGAAGTCCACAACCAAAACACAATGACTCCAACGGAAAACTTTTCACTGCCCGTGCTTGATCACAACGGAGAGGTGGGCAACCCTCCAAGGTTGCAATCCTCAGACAAAGGGAATAGCTTTCTCTCGTCGAAGGACGATGGTGTTTATAGCGATTCTTCCGAACATATGAACTTTGATTCTGAGGATTCCAACTGCCTCCCCGAGGATCTTAGCGTTTCCAAACCGTTTAATGTCAAAATTAAGGAAGAACCCGCAGATGACATGGACGATAGCTCAGAAGCCATCTACAGTCAAAAGGAAGACCTGACTGGCTCTGAGCGCGGCATGTGGTCATGTGAAAAATGCGGGAAAATGTTTACGGTCCATAAACAGCTGGAACGCCACCAGGAACTCTTGTGTTCGGTCAAGCCTTTCATCTGTCATGTATGCAACAAAGCCTTCCGGACGAATTTTTCGACTTTGGAGCCACTTTCAGTCTCACATGGCACAAGGAGAAGATGCGTCTTCTTTTAAAGAGCCAGAAGCTTGCGCTCCTGTGAGCTCTCCGTCTCCGCCGCCTCCTCCCCCGCCACCACCGCCACCTAAAATACCGCCTTTAGAGCTGGAGAGACACCCGGCTTTGCCGGAAAAATCAGGCGGCAGTGAAAAAGGCTTTGCCCCTCAAGAATCAGATACTCTTTTTTACCACGCCCCACCTCTTTCAGCCATTACCTTCAAACGGCAATTCATGTGTAAACTGTGTCATAGGACCTTTAAGACTGCATTCAGTTTGTGGAGTCATGAGCAAACACACAACTGAACCTTCGGTGCTACAATACATGTTTTTGGTTTCTTTTGTTGTTTTTTTTCCTGACAGTTGCTAGCGATGAGCTAAAAGTAGAAGACCTCTGAAGGTTATGAGAGCCGGTGATTTTTTTTTTTTTTTTATTGATGTTGCTAGAAGAATTTTAAATGGTGTGCAGTAATTTTGGTCTTAAATCGACTAGTAAACTAAACCCCATCCCTCACCAAATCTACATTTTGTCTTATATTATCGTTTTTTTTTTTATGCATGGAATCCCTTACCTGCCCTTGCTTACATAAAACATTTCAGTTGCACCAACCTATCTTTTTGGTGGTGGTTGGAGACGTATTCTTTTGAAGTTTAGTCACCTCATTTCTATGATTCTTCAGGACGTGATATTTTTATTTACTGCATACCGTGAAAGATGATGTAACTATTAGTTATCTTGTAGCAATAATCAATGCAAGAACCTCAACTCAGTATGTCACTTTTTTTTTTTTTTTTTGTGAATCTTTGTCTTTATCTGGCTGACAGATGGTTCTGTGCTATTAGATTAGCATTGGTAGAAAAAGTTTTCTTGTTTTTAGCACTCAGAAAAACCAGATATCACGTGGTTTTGAAAATTTATAGCTACGATCTTTTTTTTTTTTTTTTTTTTTTATACATCAAATTTTGTGATTAAAGGGTGAGATTGACTACAGCTGATATCTCAAATTTTGCATAATACCAGAGCGGTAAATTCATCATTGCCTCTCAGTCACAAGGCACTTCTCTCTGCTTCAGATACACCTTATGGCCAAAAACCTGACCATCACAGCTATATGAACGTGCTGCACATTCCAATGCTAAACCATTAATATTGAATATGAAATTGCTACCCTGTATGCTGATTGTAGCTTCAAGACTCGGTTCACACTCCTGTGACCCTACTTTGATTTAACATTGTAGTTAGTGGCATTCAGGTCGCACCAAAGTCGCAGAATAGTGCAGGATCGTTTTCTTTGTTTGTTTTGTTTTTTTTGTTGCTACGACGTGCGTTGCATTAATTAAGACAGCACCCATTGAAATGAATGTGTTTTGGCTTGTCAAGTGCTATTATGTGTGATAAGTCGCAGCAGTGTGAATCCAGGCTTGTAGTCTTTACTCCTCTAAGAAGGCTTTTCACTTTATAGAGTTTGTGCCAGTTGAGCCAAAATATCATTTGTGAGTGAGATACTGATGTTAGACAAGAAAACCAAATAATTCCAAAGGTGTTCAGTAGGTTTGAGATCAGGGCTCTGTCACTCCAGTTCCCACACCAAATTTATCAAACCATGTCTGCATGGTAAATCGGAGGTGCTCCAGACAAGCAGGAGAAGACAATACAAGGAGATCATGTAAGGATCTTTTGAGCAACAAATTATATGGTATACATATATTCACATTTGTGGGGTTGCATGATACCCATTGGAAGGTCAAGCAAACTGAATATGAGCTTGTGGAGAATTTGATAGTCTTCAGGATTTGATGGAAGATGCTAGTTGGGATTTTCCTAGAACGTTCGTTGCAGAGATTGGATTCTGGTATGTAATGGTATATAGCAGCCATTCTCAGCAACCTCTGGAGGAACCCTAGTGTTCCACAGAACTGTGGTTAAGGTTCCTTGAGTTCACATTTAATGGTGCCTGCATGGTTCTAGGTCCAGTGCCACTTGGCAGAGCCAGTATCATGACACCAGTGATCTTTATCTGTAAGGATGGCATACTGACCACCTTCATAATGGGAGCATTCTTCTCACTGACCTCCAATGTAAGGGGCATTCTTCCCACTGACATCCAACGTAAGGGGCATTCTTCCCACTGACCTCCAATGTAAGGAGCATTCTTCCCACTGATCACCAGTGTAAGGAACATTCTTCTCACTGACCCACCATGTAAGGAGCATTCTTCTCACTGACCACCCATGTAAGGAGCATTCTTCTCACTGACCATCCAACATAAGGAGCATTCTTCCCACTGATCACCAGTGTAAGGAGCATTCTTCCCACTGATCACCAATGTAAGGAGCATTCTTCCCACTGATCACCAGTGTAAGGAGCATTCTTTCCACTGACCACCAATGCAAAGGACATTCTTCCCACTGACCTCCAATGTAAGGAGCATTCTTCTCACTGACCACCAATGTAAGGAGCATTCTTCCTGCTGACCTCCAATGTAAGGAGCATTCTTCCCGCTGACCACCAATGTAAGGAGCATTCTTCCCACTGACCTCCAATGTAAGCAGCATTCTTCTCACTGACCACCAATGTAAGGAGCATTCTTTTCGCTGACCACCAATGTAAGGAGCATTCTTCCCGCTGACCTCCAATGTAAGGAGCATTCTTCTCACTGACCACCAATGTATGGAGTATTCTTCCCACTGATCACCAATGTATGGAGTATTCTTCCCACTGAACACTAGTGAATTGCTTTAGTCAGGGGTACCCAGAGACCTAAAAATTTTTAAAGGAGTTGCTAGAGGGCCATGATCTTCAAACTGCGGCCCTTTGCTTGTCTTTATCCAGCCCTTGAGGCATAATTCCTGCCACTGACATCAACAATGGGCATAATTTCTGCCACTGACATCAACAATGGGCATAATTCCTGCATCGGACACCAACTATTTCTCCTTCTAATACCAAAGATGAGACATTGTTTACTCCCACTGGGAGCAGTCTAGCTCCCCTATAGTCTGAAGGAGAGGAAATTGGCTCTTTGTTTAGAAAGTTTGTAGACCCCTGCTTTAGGGTAAAAAGGTTGAGGAAGGCTGGTATAGAGGATATAAAGGCCCTGACAAAGTAATCCAAAGGCGAGGTTAGAGGTTAAAGTGTGATGAATGCGTTTCTTGGCTTTTTGGTTGCCATTTCCCTAGAAAAAGGCATACAGCACACTTTATTTTGTTTTTAAATGTATTCTTTATCATTTTCTAAAATTTATTATACACAAGATATCTTATAACATCTCCCCCCCCCTCCACCAAAACACAAGACAAAATAAAGGTCTCTGCCACACACATGATGTTCCAAGGATTCTCTCACTTCTTCCCTAATGCCACCAAGACACTTCCCATGGGGTTAATATTGTCCCCCCCCCCAACACAAATTACTGTTAAGGCTCTTGAGTGCCTTTTTCCAACTTTAATGCTTTTTCCAACTACTTATATGTACAGCACACTTTAAAGTAGTTGTAAACCACAGACATGAAATATGAAGAAAGCATAATCCTCTATAGTGTGTACTTGTCTCAATCCAGAGCATGAAGTGTAATTTCTGTCTGCTGTCCTATTCCTCTGCTATAAGCATGATTCACTTCTGATGAATCTTCTTGACACCAACAGAAAAATGGTGACAGGGGAGGGACTTCCAGCAAAGTGACTGCCTCCTCTCTGTTGCTGTGTAAAGGGGGGGGGGGTGTCCCTTCCCTCCAATCAGCTCTCATTGATGTAACTTCATCCCTCCCCCCCCCTGGTTTTCATAGATGAGAGATCCTGTGTAAATTCTGCACTTTTGAATGTGAGAGACGGCTATAGATGAACAGGTACAACTTATGTAGGAGGATCTGTTTCATCTTTGTGTATCACCTGGTGCCAGTCACTTCACTGGTCTATGTAAGGGTTTACATCCACTTTAAATAAGCAGGAGTGTGTGTGCTCCTTTAACCTCTTCTCGCCGACCGCACACAAACGTGCGGCCTCCCGGCATCTGGGCCTAGACGCCCAGCGGCCGCACATTTGTGTGCAATTAAAAAAAACCATGCTGTGAGCGCACACCCTGCGTGCTCCCAGCACACATGTCCAGTACTCACGGAAAGGTCCCGATCTCCTCTTTCGATCGGGACCTTTCCCGATCATGTGACGGCGGTCACATGACCCTAAAACTCTGTCCCGGCTTCTGAAACCCTTAAAGGGCTGGGAGGCGGCGGCGCCAATGGGTTAATGACCAATGAACACCAACCCTTTGTAAAGACTACACTTGGAAGTAACTTATCACAAGCGCCTCTACTAGCCTCACCTTTTGTTTCTTTTTGGGGGGGTCTTGTTCTCTATACCATGTCTTAAAGGAGCTGGTTTTGCATACAGGGTCACAGTCATGCTTGAACAGAAAAGACCCTCCCCAAAATGTTTCTGCAAGGCACAATTGTATAAAATATTTGTATGTTGTAGCATTGACATCTTCCTTTCCTGGAAACGCCGCAACTCAATCATTTGGAGGGGTGTCAACATACTTTGCCCATGCGATTTGATGTTCGGGTTCCACAAACCTTTGGCCATATAGTGTATCTGCTATAGGGGGTTCTGCTTGCTTTTGTTGCATTTTTAACCAAGGTGGGAGAAAACTGAGATGGGGGAGTACAGCAGAGAGAACATGCAGCTGGAGTCTTCAAGAGCTATGAAGCTCTAGTAAGTAACTCAACCAAAAAAGCCGCAACGTCACTGAAATATCACTTTTGGATGGACTGACCCTTTAAGCTTCGGCATTTACTGTTTTTGTTTTTCATTTGTATGAACAGAAATCTTCAACAATTCCTTTATCCAACAATTTTTAGTAATTTTTTTTTTAAATTAATTTCAGCCAACAGTTACAGCTACAAATCTTTATCATAAAGACCGTTCTTTATTTTAGGCCAACTGTGTTTTGTTTGTTTTTTTTAGGGTTACAAAGTATATATGTGTCTAGATGTGTTTTTTTTTTTTTTTTATGTTTTTTTGTTTTTTTTTTTTTACAGTAGCACAAATACAATTTGACATTTTCTTTTGGTTTCATGGTTTATTGGAGTGAAACTTTAAGTTTTGTAAAGAGAAACACAACTGGGATTACTCGGATTATTTCATATAATCTGAAAACTAGATACTAAATAAACTCGGAAAGCACACTTTTAGGTAACAGAGTTAGCGATTTACAATGCTTAATGTCAGTGTTGCTAAAAACAGATTAAGGCTGGGACTATTACAGGACTGTCACACCGTACTACTCAGAGAATTACAGTACTTTTCTAGAAACCATTTACCGTTTCCAGAGTTGGTTGGGGAAAGTCGTACAAGGTTCACTAGGGTAAATGTGCATAAACGTTACCGTTACTATTTTTTTTCCAATAAAAAAAAGGTACATTTTGTCATTTTATTGTTGTTTTGGTCTAATCTTTATGTGTCATTTACCAATCGGATACTATTACAATATAATAAATAATATATATATATATATATATATATATATATACACACAGTGGGGATCGAAAGTTTGGGCACCCCAGCTAAAAATCCGTATTAATGTGCATAAAGAAGCCAAGGAAAGATGGAAAAATCTCCAAAAGGCATCAAATTACAGATTAGACATTCTTATAATATGTCAACAAAAGTTAGATTTTATTTCCATCATTTACACTTTCAAAATAACAGAAAACAAAAAAATGGCGTCTGCAAAAGTTTGGGCACCCTGCAGAATTTATAGCATGCACTGCCCCCTTTGCCAAGTTGAGACCTGCCAGTGTCATGGATTGTTCTCAATCATCATCTGTGAAGACCAGGTGATGTCAATCTCAAAGGTTTTAAATGCCCAGACTCATCTGACCTTGCCCCAACAATCAGCACCATGGGTTCTTCTAAGCAGTTGTCTAGAAAACTGAAACTCAAAATAGTTGACGCTCGCAAAGCTGGAGAAGGCTATAAGAAGATAGCAAAGTGTTTTCAGATGTCAATATCCTCTGTTTGGAATGTAATTAAGAAATGGCAGTCATCAGGAACAGTGGAAGTTAAAGCAAGATCTGGAAGACCAAGAAAAATATCAGACAGAACAGCTCGCAGGATTGTGAGAAAAACAATGCAAAACCCACGTTTGACTGCATGATCCCTCCAGAAAGATCTGGCAGACACTGGAGTTGTGGTACACTATTCCACTATAAAGAGATACTTGTACAAATATGGTCTTCATGGAAGAGTCATCAGAAGAAAACCTCTTCTATGTCCTCACCACAAAAATCATCGTTTGAACTTTGCAAATGAACATATAGACAAGCCTGATGCATTTTGGAAACAAGTTCTGTGGACCGATGAGGTTAAAATTGAACTTTTTGGCCGGAATGAGCAAAGGTACGTTTGGAGAAGAAGGGGCACAGAATTTAATGAAAAGAAACTCTGTCCAACTGTTAAGCATGGGGTTGGATCAATCATGCTTTGGGGTTGTGTTGCAGCCAGTGGCACAGGGAACATCTCACCAGTAGAAGGAAAAATGGATTCAATAAAATGTCAGCAAATTTTGGATGGTAACTTGATGCCATCTGTGAAAAAGCTGAAGTTAAAGAGAGGATGGCTTCTACAAATGGATAATGATCCTAAACACACCTCGAAATCCACGGGGGATTACATCAAGAGGCGTAAACTGAAGGTTTTGCCATGGCCTTCACAATCTCCTGACCTCAACATCATTGAAAATCTATGGATAGACCTTAAAAGAGCAGTGCGTGACAGACAGCCCAGAAATCTCAAAGAACTGGAAGACTTTTGTAAGGAAGAATGGGCAAAGATACCTCAAACAAGAATTGAGAGACTCTTGGCTGGCTACAAAAAGCGTTTACAAGCTGTGATACTTGCCAAAGGGGGCAGTACAAGATATTAACTCTGCAGGGTGCCCAAACTTTTGCAGACGCCATTTTTTTGTTTTCTGTTATTTTGAAAGTGTAAATGATGGAAATAAAATCTAACTTTTGTTGACATATTATAAGAATGTCTAATCTGTAATTTGATGCCTTTTGGAGATTTTTCCATCTTTCCTTGGCTTCTTTATGCACATTAATACAAATTTTTAGCTGGGGTGCCCAAACTTTCGATCCGCACTGTATATAATATAAGCTTTTACATAGAAAACAGGCACTTCAATACCGGGCACTTTCAGCCCCTTCCTGCCCAGGCCAATTTTCAGCATTCATCTCCGTCACATTTTAATGACAAAGACAGTCATACACAGGGGTGGACTGACCATTGCGGCACTTGGGCACTGCCCAAGGGCCCGGGGTCAGTAGGGGGCCCCATGAGATGCCCATTTTTATTATTATACAGTATTTATATAGCGCCAAAAGGTTTGCTCAGCGCTGTACATTGTAGAGGTACCATGGTACCTCTCATAAGCTGTTTTAGGTGTGGTTTGAGTGTGGGCAAAGACACAGGGGCCCCATGATCCCCTATTGCCCGGGGGGCCCCATCAGTTGCCAGTCTGCCCCTGGTCATACAACACTTTACTCATATGACATTTTTATCTTTTTTTTTTTTTATACAGATAGACCTTTTCTTTTGGTGGTATTTAAGCACCACAGGGTTTTTTTTTTTTTTTTTTTAACCAACGTAACAAAAAAAGTTTTTCTTCGTTTCTGTTATAAAATTTTGCAAATAAGTAATTTTTCTTCTTTGCTGATTTATTAT